AACAGGAGTTCTTTCAATCAATGTATTGCCATCTACCAACATCGTTCTTGAAAATTATGCAGTGCTCAAATAATTATACAAATAGTTCTGATCATGTGATTGCCTATCTGATCGTCTGCCTGATCAAAAAACAGATGTCACAGATAAGTACGGATAGAATGATAGAAATCAATGAAAGAATTATAGAATATAAAATAATCGTACGTACAATAATACAGATTTGTATAGTTCTGTAATATAAATAAATACAGTACTTAACTTGTTTTTACATAGCAATAACTAATTCATTTCATTCTAAAGGCAAATTACTGCAATTCACCAATTTACAAATAAGCAATATATAAAAAATTAATTGCCAATATTGCTGCATATGCCTTTTAAATTCAATGCTGAAATTACAAGCACCAGTAAAAACGTTATTGGCTTTTTAAAATCAAGGTATAAAAAGTTATTAATTTAGAAAATTATTCGGTATGAAATCATCAAGAAAAATGTAATTTAGAATTTTGGTTGACTTTTGTTAGCATTGCATACAGAAATCTGAAATGGTATAAATATATCATACCATACCTACATTTTCCTATTCTATTCTGAATTCTATATTTAACGCGAATTTTTTCTATTTCTTTCTTTTTCTTGTGCTTTTGTTCTACTTGCAATTACTAATTAAATAATTTTCTACTTCAAAAACTCTGCTAGTCCCATTAAAAGTGCATTATAACACATCACTCAATGGATTCCGTAGAATATATTATAACTAATTATTAATTTAACAGTAAGATATATAATTATTTATTTATTTAGTATTTATTTAGGAATTTGGAAAATATCATAACTGGCTATTATAAATTGTTATAAAACATCAAGCATATCTTTCCTTAATTATTCATTAAATTATGTGATATCATACACACTCAATAAGTTTCTACGGATTTATTGAGTGATGCTGCTCAACCTTATAATTTTAATGGTCACATCTTAAACTATTGTATAGATAACTTCCCGTAGGGTAAGTTATAGTAATGGGCCAAAAATCAAAGATGTACTGATTATAATAGTCCTTATCGAGATACATCAAATTGTTTTTGAATTTTTGAAATCGGCCCAGCCGTTTTTGAGAAAACATCGAATTACGGCAAAAAATCTGTTCACACACGCGTACTTTTTCCTAATTTGATCTCATTCGATTCAGAATGGCTTGAATCGTCGAGAAAACATAAAATTAGCGAATCGGATTTTTTTATGAAAACAAACTGCTCCTTCGGGAATTAAAAAATATCAATGATCATACTTTATTTACTGTATTAATATAAAGTGGTATATATTTTTTGATTATACAATAAAATATACAGGGCTGCACTACAACCTATAGCGAAGGTCAAATTTGCCGCCAACGGAAGGGATGGATTGGACGCAAAGGAAAAGCAAACCTATGATATGACAGATGATAATGGTAAAAGGGTGACTGATCATAAAAAACTTCTCGGATAAGGATAAACGTCCGTAGAACAATCACGAAAGAACAAGATAAGATCTAAATGTGAAGAAACCGGGAAAACTAAAAATAAAAGTCGAGAGAGCAAGAAAAAGGGATCAACATATTGATGCTGAACGAAACTGTACAAAATATGCAGGACAAGGGAATACTAGAACTAGGTGTATGGCATCGTGTCTCAAGACAAATTGCTGGAACTTTCCGTACCGTAATGAAATTTTTTATACTTTTACTAAAATTTTTATACTTGTACAAAATATGCACTACTTAGAAGTAATCTATTTGACACATTTAACATTCAAGGAATATTAAATGTTTTTAAAAAGATTATTATAAGTACTGTAACTTCGTTCATTATTCGTATATTATTAACAAAATATAAGAGCTTATGAATTGGACGACGACATTTATATATGTTTGTATGAAAAGTTAACAAGTTGGTATTGGTATTTTGCCTTGAGGCAAGTTACGTGAACTTCCCGATATGTGTAAATAATCGACTTAATCAATAAAAAATAAATTAATTTATGAGTGATTAAAAGTATTCCGAGTGAATTTATTACACATAATTGGAAGCGAACGAATACGTTAACTCGGAGTATTTTCTAAACAAAAATTTTCAGAAATCAACAATCTTTATAATTGAACCGAGTTTCCGTAGGACTTTTATGTAAATAAAATTTAAAAAAAAGTAAATCATCTAATTTTAATTTTAACAAACCTCTAACAACTAATTTTCTAAAACTTCGATGAATTTTTAAAATTTAAATACTTGTGAGACCGTAATATTTTAGTAAGTTCTATAAGACCATGATATATATATATATATATATATATATATATATCGCCAAAAAGTTCCTTTAAAATCGGCTTAAATTTTTTTTCCAACAATTAATTACCTTTAATTTTTCACCTATAACTAATCCCAACTAATACCTTTCCAATAGTTTTTGATTTTTAATAACGATTTGGTAGTATGAGCTTAAATGTTTAAAATTATTTTCGATTTACAAAAAAAAAATTGGAATTTAAAAAACAAATAGAATAAAAAAAATTCTTTCTCCAAAAGCAATCGTTTCGTCTACAAAAGCAGAAAGTTTTTTAAATCATTCAAATCGGATGCTTAGTTCTCTCAAAACCTGCATTTTATGCCCATTTTGCTTCGTATCTCGGAAACAGAAAGTGTTTTAAATAGTTTAAATCGGATGCATAATTCTCTCAAAATCTGCCATATTTTGCTAATTTAGCTTCATATTTTCGAAACAGCTGGATCTGCCTTTGCCAAAAACTAATCAGCACATCTCCCTATCAATAAGAATTATTCAAATCGGTCGGTCCATTCATTTGCCCAAAATCGTCGACGAAATATTGTATCTACACATACAGACACATCCATTTTTTCTGAGGTTAGCCAAAATGTCCAACAACCTCTGAAACGTGGAGATTAGTCACAACTGGATTGGGCAACTACTGAGCTGCAAATAAAAAAAAACTCGAAAATTGAGCGACAAATGATTGAGCAATAATTTAGATTTTATAAAGAAACATGGAACTGATAAGGCAGCGGCAAAACGTTCTAATGGAAGAATGACAGAAAAATATGAGTTTCGGCTAGGAAAAGAAACAGATAAAATGTTACATTTGCATGAGATTTGAAATGTAGTATTATGTACCAACTTCAAAAAGTGGAATAGAAGAGAACTCTATTTGATATGATTGTGAAAAATGTGCATCAAAGCGCATTCTGATTCTATGTATGATTACACGATGATCCTACCTTTACACATGCATATAAGATTAAGAACCTTGGGCAACATGATATTTCTGCTTTTATTTTTAGTATTGGACTTATCTAATCTTACATCCTTCATACACAACTTTATTTAAAAACCGTAAATGAAAAGATATAATTAACTTTAGATATGTAAAGTAACTAGTTGGTATTTTGCCTTGAGGAAAGTTACATGAACTTCCCGAAATGTGTAAATAATCGACTTAATTAATAAAAAATAAATTAATTTATGAGTGATAATAAGTATTCCAAGTGGTTTTATTACACATCATTGCAAACGAACGAACGAACACATTAACTCGAAGTATTTTCTAAAAGCAAATTTTTAAAAATCAATAATTTTTATAATTGAACCAGTTTTTGTAGGACTTTATTGGTTTACTATTTTCAAGACCAAGTACACTATCGTTATACCAACTAAATCATCTAATTTTATTTTTAACAAACGTTAAAAAAAACTACTTATTTTCTCAAACTTTGATGAATTTTTAAAATTAAACTACTTGTCGTAAGGCCGTAATATTTCAGTAAGTTCTATGATACCATGATATATATCGCCAAAAAAGTTCCATAAAAATCGGCTTAAATTTTTTTTCAACAGTTAATTACAAGAAAACGGTTTGATAGATTTTCATCTAAAACTAATCAGTATCATTCCCAACTAACATCTTTCGAACAGTTTTTGATTTTTTAAAATCGGTTTGGTAGTATGAGCTTAAACGTGGACGAAAAATTTAACACTTTTTTCCCTAATTACAAAGAAACGGCTCGGCCGATCGTCGCACAAAACTGAGACACGATAATCCTCATCGAGATACATCAAATGCTTTTTAAATATCTAAAATCGGTTCAGGCGTTTTTGAGCAAACGTCGATGAAAGTTCTAATTTTCACAAATGCCAAAAAGACCATACTAATTTTTGCAAACTTTGACGAATTTTCAAAGCTAAACCAGTTGCCGTAGGGCCGTAATATTTTAGTATGATCTAGAAGACTATGGTATTTACCATCAAAAAAATAATCATAAAAATCGGCGAATTTTTTTTTTTAAACTTTATTACAAGAAAACGGCCCGGCCGATCTCTACCAAAAACTAATCAGCACGATTCCCAACCAATATCTTTCGAACGGTTTTTGAATTTTCAAAATCGATTAAGAATTGCGGGCTGAAACATAGACGAAAAATTTTTCACTCTTCTGCGATTTATAAAAAAACGGCAATTTGAATGCAATCGTTATATGAGCTATTGGGATCTAATTGAACTCAAAATACTAAATACTGAAAGTATTCATTTTTTTCTGAACTTGTGTGAGTCATTATCAGTTATCGTAGCTATAAGCAGAGTGGTAATCGTATTTTTATTTTAAAATATAACGAACCTTGTGCAACAAGTACATATTTGACAGTTTTTTTTATATAAATAAAATTTTTCACCTAGTTTGAACACTGTGTACTTGTATTGCATCATGAGCAATTAATTTGATTATTTTGTCCAAAAATAATTGTCGACACATCAATCTCTAAAATTACAGATTTAAATTTGCCAGATTTAATTTTCGGTTATATATTTTCTAAATATATACTTTGACCTAAGAGTTACATTTTGTCTAATGTGGCAACCCTATGAACAAATTTCTTTGCAGATTTTCGGCGTCATTTGGCCGGCAGCGTCAGTACCTAGATCGCACGCGTTTCGGTTACATTTCCTAAACTTACTGTTATTCGGGTTTTTGTGATAAAAGTGTTAAATGTAGCAATTATTCATCGTATTATTTTATAGATAGTTTTGTATAATTGTGTTTTCAAAAATGTATTATTTGTTATGTGTAAGGTGTGTGCTAATTTGCTTAGAAGATGAATCAATTGCAACTTCACGCAACATTAAGTGTTGGCGCCAAAAATTGTTGGATACGCGCGAATTTGCATTGTAAGTGAAAGATTACTTTAATTTAATGTATATGTTTTTTTAATACATTGATGACTTGTTTTTTTCTAAATAAATATTTATATATCAGTAAATAAGTTAAAATACTTTTACGAAGGACAATATTGATAGTAGCTACAAATATTTCTGGAATTCATATGTGGTAGATTTTCTGCACTTTATTATAATAATTTTAAAAGGTTTGAAAATTATTATCATGTCGAAAACTAATATTTCTACATACAATACATGTTCGTAACTAGTTGTAAGCGCAGGTTGGCCTTGAGGCAAGTTACGTAAACTTCCCGATACCTGAAACTAATCGACTTAATCAATAATGAACAATTTAATTTATAAGTGTTTTGTAAGTATTCCGAGTGGATTTATTACACAATATTAAAAATCGAATACGTACTAATCGGAGTATTTTCTAAAATCATTTTTTTATAATTTAATCAATTTTTATAGTTGAAATAGTTTACGTAGGATTAACATGCATTAGTATAATCATTAAGACTAGGTACCTACTCTAACGCCATACCAAGTAAAACAATTAATTTTGCCAAACATCAAAAAAACGCTACTAATTTTTTCAAACTCTGGTGAATTTTTAAAATTAAGCTGCATGTCTGGGGTTGCAATATGTTAGTATGTTCTATAAAGCTAAAAACTAGACAAAAATTTTTACTTTTTTTTTTGCTAATTTCAAAAAAATGGCTCGGCTGATCCTCGCGCGAAACAGATAAACGCTTGTCCTCATCGTGATACATTGAAGAGTTTTTATATTTTTGAAATCGGTTTAGCTGTTTTTGAGGAACATCGATGAAAGATTGAAAATCGGCTTACATACACACACATTCATACATACATACACATCCATACATACATACACACACATACTTTTTACAATTTTTTAAACATGAACTTCTCTTTCGAGAAGTTAAAAATTGAATACTTTTGTCAAATTAAAACAGATGATTTTATTTCTGTAATTATTGTCAAAATCTTGTATCTAAAAAATAAAACATTATCTGAAAAATCTAAATTATTTATATTTTTCAAGTTAAATCATGTCTCGCTTCATAATTTAATTTGGATAATATAATGGCTCCAGATTTGACTGAGTTGTTTATCATTCTATGGTAGATGAAAAGGATACATATTACATCTCGTTTATGCACTCTATCTAATGTAAAGTTATTCAGGCAATAATTTAAAAAAAATACCGTTAGAGATCCTAATATACTACACTCATCTGTCAAAAATTGCACAATTCTGAATACTGACATATACCAGAAGCAGATACTAATCCTAATGAGTACATACTTCTTTCTGATTTTAATATAGAATCAATCAACAGTTATATAAGGTATTAACACTTACGGAAAGGCACCGATTTCAAAACAATCTACTGTACCGGCTGTAAACTTGATTTCATTGTGTTTTTTTTTTATCATTATTATTTTTGAACAGCAATCAGAACCTTACGTCCTATGAGCTGTTGGGCTAAAACTTCTCTTTACTTCGTATTTTTTAGATGGTTATCCAATGGTTAATCCATCCATATTTGATGATTTTTTGTTATTAGAATTAATCTAATAGGGCTGACATTTTATTGGTGCAGCAATGCCGGGGCAAGGGCTATTTTCACTTGAAAACATATTGCTATCTATATTTTCAAGTGAAAATCGTTGTCACTGCTGCCTGACAACAAGCTGCTTGAAGTGGGTATCGAACCTGTGACCTCTGAATCAAGTCCCGTCGTTCTTAACCGCTTATCTACGGGCAAGCCCATTTCATTGTGTATGTTATGCAATTTGTTTGATAAAAAATTGTGGTCGTTGAAGGACATACATTTGTAATATTAATTTATTTTTATCATTTTATAAAGAATGGTGACGTTCAAAACAATTTCGAAAATGCATAGCTGGTTGATTTGATCATGTTTTACAATAAAATGTGTTCGCCGCTTTCCTCCTATTGCTTTTCTGGCAGAACAGACAATACAATCTTTTTTCTTTCTTTCGCATTTAGAATATGCCACTGATTAGTCAGTATATTTGTTCATTTTTGTGTTGCCATAATGGTTTGTTTTTTCTATTATATTGTCTAATAATGCATTTGTAAAATATAAAGTAAAATAATCGATTGGATGTCTTATATTGCTTGGTATTTGTAGTCGGGGTATTTCTTGATGTATGTCAACGCTCTTCATTGAATTTGTCGAACTTCATCACATTCATCACTTCGGTGCAAATAGTAATTTCATCAAATTTGTCTGTATGAATGTCTATTTGAAACTCATCTTTACTACTGCTTAATTCATAAAATTTACTAGTCGTTTTGTCATATTTAAAAGCGCTCGGTCGTTTCAAATATTAAAAAAAAGACTATATAGCAAAGAAAAAGGCTAAAAATATTACTAAAATAACTTAAAATTATTTTCAAAATACAACACTGTTTATCACTGATATATGTAATTTATTCAACTTTTCGATGCAAACTGAGTCATTGTTTATAAAATAGCCTGTGCCTCACAGAGTTTGTTTGTCCACTCAGATAGATAGCCGTCCCCAAAGAGTTAAATTACCGTTTCAACTATATCGGTTCTCGTTGCATAACATTAATCTCCTTCAATAACAGGTACAGTTAAATATTTTACAACAAATTGATTGATAAGATCGACCTTCAAGTGATGTCGACAGTGAACAATATATTAGGTTGTCAAATATCTCCCTTCCGCTTTTTTGCTATTGTTTTATAATACAAAGAGGCGGAAGGGAGATATTTGACAACCTAATATAAAACTCACTGTTAAAAAATATACTATAGGTCAAGTCAAAAATAGACGAAACATACTACAGATATAAATTTCTCTGACTCGAAAAGGTGAAAACACAATGAATTTAGAATTCGTTAAATTTAAAGGACGTGTCTGTATAGATCAATGGAATCATCAAAATGAGTTTTAACTCTTCTTTAAACTTTCGTTTGGTATCTTTGAGTGAATCACATTTCGTCGTCAACAAGCATAGTTTTGGTTGTTTTGGATTTAGAAGCATGGTGATTGCGATTACGAAAATGGCTTTATTAATATACACTCGTGTGATTTGTCTATATAATATAATATAATTAATTTGTCTAGATAATAGATTCCCAAAATTTTGTAATAAACCCTTTAGGCTTTTCCTTGGACACCCTTACCCGATTTTTTATTATTTTCTAACTTGACTAAAGTTTATTGTGAAAATATAAACCAAGCGAAAAGTTTTAATGTTTAATTATTAACATTAGGCAATAGTTTTGTAAAAAATAATTTTACATCTCCCGGCTAAATAATGTCCAATCTACATCTCTTTTAGATTAGGATATCGCCATTTTTACAAATATCAAATTATTGTTAGTATTCACAAAAAGGCATTTATAATTTTGGACCGCGAAATTATTTTTTTGTTGACGTGACCCCTGGATTGACAAAATATTAAAGTTGCTGCTATATAAATCGATTATTAAACCAATCTGGACCTACGGAATTGAGCTCTGGGGATGTGCTTACAAATCTAATGTAGCTATAATGCAGAGAACTCAATCAAAAATTTTACGTACAATTCTTAATTCTCCGTGGTACGTGGCAAATGAAACCATTCACAGCGACCTCAACATGAAAACGGTGCAATTAACGTTTAAAGAAGTTAAGGAAAAATATAAGCGCAAACTGGACGCACATTTGAACCCTTCTATAGTTGACATTACTCAACCTTTTGGCATTAGGAGGTTGAAACGACAATGGCCCTTAGACTTAGTCTTAGATTAGGTCTAATATATCATATTAATTGTAAAACTGAGAAGTTCTCATTGGAGTTTTTCTTAAGCATTCACTCATAAATATTGTCATTTTAGCTCATAGGAATCTTTATGTATTTCTGGTTGCTAAATAAAACTGAGTTAAAATAAAAAATAAAAAAAATGCTTGACTAATATTTGCAGTATTTTTTACCGTCAAAAGAATCTCAAAACAATCAATTTTATTTCCGGAAAATTTTATTAGCATTGTTCGAGAAATATGTCATATTATTATTATATATGCATTGTAATTGGTTCGCCCGTAGGGACTTGATTCAGAGGTCCCGCGTTCGGACTGTCTGTTCTCAGGCAGTGGGACAGTGATGGTTTTCACTTGGAAATACAGATAGCAATGTGTTTCCAGCTGAAAATAAATTTTAGCCGGCATTGCTGCGCCAATAAAAGAAGTCAGCTTTATTAGATACTTTCTAATAATAAATCAATTATGGATGGGTTGCCATCTAAAAATATGAAGTAAGGAGAAGTTTCAGCCCAACAGCTCATTGGACGTAAGGTTTTGATTGCTATTAAGATATGAGGAAAAATATAATTGAAGTTAGTTGTATACATCTTTTTAATTCCTTATAAGGTATTGTTATACCCTAAGTTGTATATTATATTATATTACCCTAAAGTTGTATATCGTAATTTGAAATTTTGGCTTAATGACGTTTTCATTTTGTATTAGTTATATTTCTAACAGTTACAAGTCTACTTCTGTATCCGAATAAAATATAAACATCATTAAATAATCTTCATTTAATATATCCTTATTTCGAAGAGAATTCATGTTAAGTTGATCAGCAGATTGGACATTAAATGTTTGATAGTTTCCAATTAACTTGTTTTACATAGACAAAACCAAGACAAAATAATTTTTCTTCTATTTTATTTAATAGATTTTAATGATCATTATGCTACTGGTGACAGATTGAGATAAAACCATGAATATCAGTTGACATTCAAACATACTCGACTTCTTCATATAATTTGACTTTGTTATTACAGAGGCTTTTGATTATTTATAAACGAATATCATATCATATTATTTCTGCGATACATTTTCCGAGTATACGAACAACATATATTGCTCATATTGTATTTTTTTTAACAAAAACAGCTGTTCCAAGAATTTAAGGAATTCTTAAAAATGATTTTCT